CCCCCCCCCCCCCAATACCCACCCATAATACTTTCAGTCAAATTGAGGCGGGGGAAAAGAATTTTTTTTTTTTTTAAAAACATCAGGCCATCTTAACTTTTAGCATTACTCATGCAAATAGCATTTTGGGGAGCAGTGATTAGTACAACATGCCAATTATACCATGACACTTGCATTTAAATTGATGGTTTACCACCAAATTACTTGAAGGGCAAAGCCTGTCTAATTCTTTGCCCACGTGTAAACAATAACTTACAAAATCCATCTTAGGCAGCTGCCTTAGTGTTACAAAAAGGAATAATTATGCAAATTCAAAACCTAAAAGCCTGGCAGGTGGGGGTTATTTAGAAGAGACTATTGAAAAAAAGATTAAAAGTTACTGGAGATTTTTGGCTTTCCAGAGAATAAGATTTGTTTAAGAAACTTTAAAATAACTAAAATTCAAACATGACCGAGTTACTGATGATAGAAGAACAAGTCTACTGAAAATTAAAATCTACTCACTTGGGAGGAAAGTTTTTGCTCTCTTTCAAAGTTGGATCCTTTAATATGAAGTCAGTTTATAACTGCTTCTATCTGGCATACACTATGATTCTACTGTAGCTGAGCTGTAACTATTTCTGGAAGCAGGATAGTAATTAGCAAATAATGGAATCAGGCATTTGGAGAGGCACACCCTTCAAGCAGACTGTTCCCACTTTAAAAAGTTTACAATAGTAGATTTTAACTAGCTCAGTATATACCATTAAGTCATAGGGTGCCATACAAATTAGAATTCAACAGTCCAGATAGTCATTATCTCCAACTTAAACACACTTACAGTTGTCAAACACCGAAGTGAGTGTACAGTGTTTTATTTTAGCATTTCTGCAACCTATAACCTTAAGTCAGGAACCATCCTCACATAGAAAGTTTCTTTAAGCATATGGATAGGCATGTTCTACTGAAATCCAATGCATCACCACTTCGACTGGGAAGACTCAGCACAAGTTTAATTTGATGTATACATCCTTTTCCTGCCCTCCTCCCCCACCTCAAAAAAGACCACCAAAAACTTGAAAACAAGGCCAACTAAATATATAAATCAAGGTACAAGAATACAGGTCTGCACATTTTTCTAGTTCTTTGCATCTCTGATCACACCCTTTTTGTACATGGGTATGGGGAGTGGTGGGAAACTACTTACATGGACAAGTTAGGAGATGGAACCCTACTATCATCAGCTAGGTTCCCAAGGTGGCTCGGCGTTGAAGTCGAACTGTTCTCTATAAAGCACTTCTCCTAGGCCTTCTGGATAGTTGTAAACCTGATCAGAGATTTTGCCCTGAGGGAGAAATGTATAGGTAAGTAAAATTGGGAACTCACTGAGCAAGATGACACTTTCTTCAAAAATGGGAACCAATCGATTTCTTAACAGTGTTTTTAGGACGGACAGCAACTTCTGCATGCATTTGTCTATAACTCTTACATAGCAAACCTGCCCTTCAAAGGTTCATGTAAAAGCCCTCTACACAGCCAAGTACTATTTGTGACCACAAATTACAAATATGAGTTAACATTCACATTTCTTCAGTTGATTCAAAATGGGTCTCAAACTGAAACTGGGCGCTTTAAAACTGCTATGTGGTCCAAACTTAAAGTGTGGTAGGGAGAAATTAAATTAATAACCATGTTACCAACTACATGTTGAACATTACCACCCTGCCACTCTAGTGGACAACTAATACTGTCCATGTGGTGTGGCCTCTGGAATCTCAACTTCTGTACAATAGTAACCAGCTCCCATGTTTTCCAGCAGAGCTTCTGTGAACTGGCAGGGGAAGTCAATAGTTATGGCGGTACAAAATGACACTATAAGCAGTGCCTCTTGAGGTAGTGCCGAATTAGCCAACTGCCTTACGAAAATGGGGTGTAGTAACCCGGTGAAAAGGGAAGCTGCAGAAACTTAACAAATAAGACTTGAACACAAATGCATTCAAATGAAGTGTGAGGTATTTCAACTGGTGCACAGAATGCAAGTATTTTAATGCATGAAGCATTAAAATACTTTTTAATCTTTCTGCCTATTAGACTTGAAGCAAAATTATCCCAATGTTTGACTAGAGCCCAGCGCATTTTAAGTCTGCCGAGAAGCTGAGTTCTTGCTCATACAGCTTAAAAGTGACTGTAATACTTTACCTGAAATGTATACTGATCAATCTTTCAGAAACCTGCAGTGTTATTAATTTCTAAGGATTTTGTTAATTTTAAGTGTCTGGTAACCAATAACTGATGCAGATCTAGCCTGTTCTTGAAAACCTACCAGTTAACCAAGAAACTAGTTCCATTGCCCTACAATTCTTAAGAAAGTTCTTGCCCTGAAATTGGATCAAAATTTGCTTTTTTGTAGTTTAAAATCACTGCCTCATGCCCTGCTCAGTGAGGCAAGAAGAACAATGTTTCTCTCCTCTTTATAATAAGTTTTCAAAAATTTCAAAACTGCCAATACCTTCCATCCCTTAATCTCTTCTTCCTACTAAAAAAATATTTCAATTCTTTCTTCCTTTCCTCATATGGCTTTTTATCTGCTGTCATCAGTCAGTGGATCTCCTCCAGTTTCTCTGCATCTTTCTTAAAATGCAGTGACCAAAGCTGGAGACAGCACTCAAAGTGAAGACTAACCAGGGTGGAGCAGAGCACTTTATCATCTCTTGCGTCTTGCATATAGCATTTCCATTTTGAGTCGATAAATTTGTGTACCACCATAACCCTCCCAGATCCTTCTTGGCCATGGTATAATGCATTCTGTATTTGTGCATATGATGCTTCTTCCCTACATGTTGTCATCTATAGTCTAGTCTTCCAGTTTAACAAAATCCCTTTGAATTTAATCCTATCCTTCCAGTGTTTGCAACATCTTCTACATGTACATACAAATTTGATAAATACACTATATTTTTGTACCAAGGCAATTACAAAATGTTAAAAAGCACTAGACCCAGACAAGACCTTTGTAGAATCCAGCAAGACTTCCTGCCAATCTGATACTGATGCCTTTCAGTTATTCAACCAAGTACATATCCACACAATGACAACTTTAGCCCATACTTTCCAACTTACACAAAAACAAACAAAGAAACAAAAAAAAACTTACTACCATCCAAGTACTTTATTTTCTTGCACAAAACATCCACCTTGTTTTTGGAAGGTGAAGAGGGGGTGGGGGTGCAGCAGGCAAAAAACCCAACAGTTTTCCACACTGATGGCCAACTACATGACAGCAAGTCCACCTGGAAATGTAGCCTCCAGTAAGTGTGGCATCAGGAGCTTCCTGTATGGCAGAGAGTGTCCTATGATGCTGGACTTATTAGACACCGTTTCCAGAAGGCTGTACTCTGTGTCACACAGGGTTAATCAAGGCCCTTGCACAGGGCTGTAGCAAGACTGCTGGTTCTTCACTGGAAATAGCTCTTCATATAAGTTCCCATAAATAGTTATTTTCCACATCATAAGCCTCATCAAAACACTACAAACAGCTCACTTGTAGCTTGTGCCCAAAGTAACAATGCTCAGGCAATAGCTACACCTGTGGGAGCCTACACAAGACTCCATCTTTTCAGTCTGCTTAATAGACACAAGCAGGAGCCATCTTGGCAACTACATGGCATGCAGTTTCTTCAGGAGTGCTTCTTTTCCATCAGAGAAAAATTCCCCCACACACCCCCAATTTTTAGGTGAAAGGTGAGTTGAACATAGTATATTATTTTCTCATGTGGAACAGATCTCACTTATCCACAAGGTACCCCAAAAGAAGGAAAACAAGTAGAGATATTTTGCTTTGTCGTTAAGAAGTAGACTGGGCACAACTACATGAGATGCTACTGTACAATAGCATACCAGTCAAAAGCCATACTAATATGCTACTGTGCAGTGTTAAGCTACTGAGCAGTAAGCATCACAAAACGACAGTGCACTGCTGCTACTGCACAGTAACTGTAGTTACTGCACATTTAGTTAATACTTCATTAAGCAAGTACTAAACTAAATGCAGAGTAACTACTGTGTATTAATGAACATGTAGACACACTCATCAACTACTATTATAATTTCTTTCATGCTCTGATGAGCTAAACCACTGTGACTCCATAAAACAACTGTTCAAATGTTCATTACCTAGAGTTAAGATAGCAAATATGGGGAAGTAATGTAAACTATGAAGAATGAGTTAGTACTCAAAGTAACATTGTTCCTTTGTCTCAAATGCTAAGGAATAGGGGTTGGCAACTTATGGCCCATGGCCTGGGTGCATTGAATTTGGCCAGCAGATGTGGGCTTCTGGTGGTAGGCACTCTCTCTCCATGGTGCTGCAGGGAGAAGTGCCAGGTGTAGTCACTCTCCCCATGCTGCTGTGGAGACAAGTACTAGCTGCAGCTGGGTCCTAGCACATTCCTCTCAGAGGCAGGGTGGGTTATTCCATCCCACAGCCAAAAAGATTGCCTGCCTCTGCTAGAATGCAATCTTATGTGCTTGTGTGCCAATATACACCTCCTCCTTAGAAATATCCAAGTACAAATATTAAGACTGATTTATAACAGCTAAAATGTTGGTGAGGTACTAATTCTAGATGCTTTGCAGGTGCAGTTAACTTCCATTTTTTCCATCCCTTAAATGGAGAGTTCAACAAAATTATTTCTTCAGCTAATGTCTAGGAAAGATAATACTTGTTTAACTTTACAAAAGGAAAATTTTAAATATAACTTTTTTGATCCTGTTCTAGAACTGAACAGATTTCCATATTATTTATTGCATATTTTTACAAGATAAGGCTCTAAGAAATGTTTAGCAGGCTCAAATGGAAAGGATGGCCTTCATTGCAGTATGTAAAAGGTCACACACTACAAACAGGTACAACACTTCCCCCCCCCCCACATGTCCAAAACAGAAAGAGCACACAATGGAACTGAAACAAAAATGGACAGTTACCTCCAGTGGTAACTAGCGACAGTGCTTTCAGCTAACACACACTGAAGTTTTACTTACAACAATGATTTTAAGCCTCGAGAAAATATTCTCCATGAGCTTGTCCACCTGCAATGATCTTGAATTAATAGTTAAACACATGTGAAATTGTTTTCTATATATTAAACAGTACATAAATAGAAGATAGCACAGTGAAGTCCAACTTTTAATGTAGGTAACATTTGTTTTAAAAGAAAAAAATTGTGATGAAAATGTGCATTTTCCAGTCAGTGGCAGCACACTGATAAACTCCAGTTCCATAGGGCTGTTGCCCATACCTCCCTAATCAAATCTGAACAGTCTAGATTTCAAAGAAATGGCCCCAAATCAGTTTCTAGACTGATGTGCTCAACGGTTCCTATTTTCAGCAGGCCTGGCTTTAAGAAGTGGTCATAGTTATTCTATACCAACACAGCAAAGTTTCAGCTGCAAAGAATTCAAGAGGTTTTCTTTGTCTTTAACACTCAAACAACTTTAGCTAGAACTGTATTAGGAATATTTTATTGATATAGGAATACAAGTATATTTTACCAGTAAGTGTTCCAATGTGAACACAGCTACATTGGCAATGCTGAACTTTATATCAGCATAGTAACCTGCCCTGCACATGAGTGAAACTAGCTATATCAGTAAAAGCACAGTTTTCCTGGTATTACTGTGTACATTATTGAGATCTGCCAGAAGCACTGTTGGAGATTACACCCCTGACAACTATGCTGGCAAAAATCTGTTGTTGTAGATTTGGCCTCAGTGGAGAAAAGGAAAAAAAAAAAAAAAAAAGA